GATGAAGCTGAGATGGTTGTATGTTAATTGTTTAGAAAACTTCAATAAACTATTGAGCTTACTTCACATAAAAGCACTTGTGTGGGTGTTTTAGAGTCGAATCCCAGTTTTGTAAGTTGAAGTAAGTTTGGACTGGTATATTTGACATCATCGATAAGTGTTGAATTTTGAGACTTGTGTATAGCTGTGTCATACTTGTGAGTCAAGTGTATGTCATGACTGTGTGCACACTTGTATGATATTGGATGTCAATGGTATTCCCTATTCTTTGCCCTGGGATAAATTAATTTGGTACATTTATGTGCCAGCATATTGGGTTGTCGCTATCTAAAGGTTTGAAAAAAAACATGCTCCCTTTTAAATATGTAAATTGTAAGTAATGTAAATAATTTGTTCTACTTTAAGCTGTGCCTCAAGGCAGTTCCAAGTTCAAAAATATTGAAGATACAGCTAGAACTGAGCGAGTTGAAAAGAATATCAATAAACTCATGGAAAGATTGAAAGATGTTAAAGATCCAGAAAAAAAAGACTTTTGCTTCACATTGTTTGATTTTGGTGGGCAAGAAATTTATTATATTTCACATCAGGTGAGTTGTATTAAATGGAATTACAGAATTTATATTGTGGCTAATGTTGAGTGTGACAATTAAAGCCACTGCTAGGAATTTAGCACAAAAAAAATAAAGGGGTCTACTGGAGTACTCTCTCCAATGCTGAGTAATCAAGTTGTAAGCCATTCTAGCACATCTAGTCTTATACATGTTATACTGTTTTTGGCAGCTATTTTGTTGTACATGTGATTGATTGATCTGTCATTGAAGCTTTATGTCCATCAGCACTTTACTTGGATGGAGGGGGAATTGGCCATGAACACAGTCCACTGACATCATTAGAACACAACACACTGCTCATTGGGATATTGCCAACATGATTAGAAACCCATTGTCATACACACACGCACAGATTTAAGATTTTGCCTCAAAACCTTCATCTGTCACCTCAGCGATTGTAAATACCACTGTGAAAAAGCTTTCATCAACCAGTGTGGGGAGGAAGATTCACTGGTGATTCACTCTTCAGTTGTCGAGTGCAAAAACAAAATACAGCTCAATGCTCCTTGTCACTCATTCGCAACATATTTTCTATGTGGTTCATTAATTGGGCAAAGAAGTGATTATCAAATCCTTCTTTCTATGTTTGTATGTTTCTTTTCTCAAAGGTATCAGGGGACCATGGAGCTGTGTGAACAATTTTTGCTTTTGAACGTATGAATTCAGATAAATTTATTTAGGATTGTCTCATCACAGGTCATATAATGATTTTCTTGATTTTTCTTACACATTCCAATGCAACTAGACTAGAAATTTTTACTGTGATCAAAGAGATGGTATATCAATTCAAAAAGACCCATCTTTCTGCTTATGTTCGACATCATTTGTGTTCACAGATGTCTGCAGGGAAAGGATAATTCAACTGAATGCCTTTGGCATTTTTGTCGACCCTTACATAAACAACTGAATCCCCACATAAATCAAGAGTGGAGTATCTATATCACTTTACACTCTCACATCTATGTTTTGCACCAATTAGGGTGTTCTGATCAATATAGGCTTAACCATGACCTCTAAATAAAATTGTGCATAGGTTTCATTTGGTAATTAAAAACATGGGATCTTATAATTTTAAATTCACAGTCGTGTTTTTGTTTTGTACACTAAACCCTGATCACTTATCATATTCCAGCATAATTATTAGGTAAATCATTGTGAACCCATTTGCAACAGCGTAATAAACAATATATGAGCAATTGTTATTGAATAACACTATTTTGGTGATGCTTCAAAATATAACTTTTTTTTGTAGGTCTTTATGCATGGTAAATTCTTGTACATAATTGTGACAGATATTTCCAAGGAACTGGATGAACCAGTTACTGATCAAAAAGGGCAAATGAAGATTCATCATGAACTGAAAACAGCAAGGGGTGAGTAGTTCATGAATACTATACCAGTATTTGTTATTGCTCATCATTCCACATGATTTTGGCCTGGCCCAATTTACAAAGTTGATACATAATTCACACATTATTCAGGGATGAGAATTTTCCACAGATCCGTGAAATTCCACGGATTTCTAAGCCCCAGGGATCACTTTTCTGAAACATCTATATTTCTATGGCAGATTTGTTTGATACTTTTATGGCAAAACAGAATGGTTTGTATCAAAATGTCAAATTGTTGTGTTTTAATGAAATTTACTCTATCCTCCCCCCCCCCCTTTTGCATCATAAATATGAATTTGCAAAATACACATTGAACTAAATATGATATTGACTTCATTTGATAATTAATCATTTTATTGTGTGCTTGATTCACTTGTTATATCATGGTTTTTATATTTTGAATGCTGAGATGTCATTTATTGAAACAAAATTGTTTTCAATTCAAAAGTTAAAATTAATTAATATAACATCGAACAAGTATGTTATGAGTTTAAAAAATTATTGATAATTGCATATATATACTGTATTTACTGTTACTATTACTGTTTCTAAACATGATGTACATAACTACAAAGCTCTTTTTCCCCCACATTTCTTTGCTTAGACTTTATTCTCTACTGGGCAAATACAATACTGACATATGCTACACACAGTGAAGATAATAAGTACCCAAAGATAGTAGTTGTTGCAACTAAAGCAGATAAGATATCAAAGGTAATGTTATTAGTCCCTCCCTGTCTGACATAATCCAAAATAAAGGGGCTGCTTTCCCTTGTTTATTAATCACTGCAATTATCTATACTATATGTCAGATATTTGTCTAAGTTAGACAAAGTTGGTCTTATTACTGGCAGCCAGCTTACCCAGTATAAATTAGTTCTAGCACACACCTGGTGCACCTCCAGGGGTTATGGGTAATACGTGTAGAATATTCAGTTTCATTCCAAGTTCCTGAACTTGATGTGCTAGTAGTGTAAATAATTGGACTGACTAATAAACAAGGGGGCTACCTGAAGCAGCACCTCTAGCATTTAATCACCTCAAGACCAACAGAAAGTCCAGTAGCAAGACATGGTATGTGTGCTTGTGTGTTAGTGTGTGAGTGCGTGTGTTGTAACAACGTTGTGACGACTTCAATTTAACTTTACATGGACTTGTGGCTACATAATGACGAACCTCACTATTTTCATAATTTATATTAATATTTAATCGAATTTAAGTCAAGTTTGCGAAGCTTAGGTTTAGTAAA